CCAGACACTCGTCCCCAAGCCTGTAACATGAAGGAGGGGAGACAGCCGCCCCATGCCCCAGCGGGCCTGGTCTTCTGGGGATGTGGCTCCTGTGCGCTTCCTGGCTGAAGCCGCCCCCCGAGTATTTAGGGACGTTTTGAATGTCAGCTTCCTACAGTTGCTGTGTTGGAGAGATATAATTGTAAGGACTGTGTTTCGCCTGTGACAGTAGCAAGCCCCAGTCTGTGGAGACCGCTCTCTACCCGTTATAGCAGTGCTTATCTGCAGGAGATGCTGCATACAGAAACCACGGGTAGAGGCAATTGCATTTTAAGCTATGCCAGTTAGGATTTCATAAGAAATGAGGGCACCTCAATGAATTAAGTATGATACACACTCACGTTGTGATGATACCGCAAAAAAATCCAAGGTCTATAGGATATGATTCTAAATACATAGTATTACAACCTAAGGTGAGATGTCAAAGATAATTAAAGGGAGTTTGAGATTCGTTTATTGGTGTACAAACCCGTTACCTTCTTACTTTTCCCTTCGCATCTCCCTATGCCCTTCAAAACAAAGCCTTTAACAGTATCATATACAGAATTGATCCCTTATTCCAGTCCATGTTTGCACTGAAGACTCTGTAAAGTGTCTCACAAGCTTCATTTTCACCACACAGCCAGCCACGACTGGTACCACCACCCTGCAATCTTACATCTGTTTACAAATCCTTAATAGAAAGGAGCCAATTATTCCACACTAGAAAGTCTTAGCCCTCATCCCCACCTGTAAAATGTTCTGGTTATTGCCATTTCTCTGCCAGGTACGAGTGATAATGGCCTTCATGGTTTGAAGTGACTACTGGAGTGCAGGCTACTTTGCACATGGAGCTCTTTGCCAGGTGGAAACTTGTTTGCATGCTCTGCTGTTGAAGAACCCGAGCCCCTGCCAGGTTTGATGTGCTTCGCTTTGTTTGAACTAAGTTACAGCAGACTTGTTTCAGAACTGCTCAAAGCCACACGAGGAGACAGTGGCAGTGTAGTTATTCCCTTGCTGTTTCTCTCCTACGCTCCTTTCTCTGTCTGCTGGCTACCCTTTTGCCCTCTTCCCTACTCATTACCTGGGAGACCTGACCTTCAGCTGCTGCCCCACTTTAGATCATGATTTTGCATCTGCCCGTCCCAGTTTTAACTCAAACGCAGGGTTCCTGCTGCACAGAACCGCTGCTCCTTTTTACTGCACGTGCCTAATGGATTTTGAAGTGATCTGCCCACGTGCTGTAAGCCATGCATTGAAACTTCAGCCTTTCTGAAAGGAGAGCAAGATGGGGAAAATCACTTTTCATCCATTTTTAAAGCTGTCGCTTGTAATCTTTAGTACTAGCTTTTATTTTAGTAAGAATTAGTGTTTTAACAGTCAATATCTATGAAAAGGAAATTATATGCAAGCTGTGCTTCAAATTATTCAGTACTCCAATCGAATGCATCACCAATGGAAACATCTACCGCTGCTTTTTTGCAAAAATTTTACAAAAAATACAAGAAGGCCTGCGTACCTTCAGTTTTATCTGTTCCACATACATAGTGTCCGGTTTCCATGACAGACAGATATATGAAAATAACTGATCCAGACTGTACCCTCATCACCTCTGAATAACACACAGATTATTACAAAGAAATAACTTTGTAATAGATCTACCTACTTTACAATTTGAAGACTATCATGATCCTCTTCTGCCTCAGGCGAAGGTTACCATGGCTCATTAGCTTCGCTACATAAACCAAAATACAGCTTCACAGTGAAGAGATGATACTTGCAAGTGCCGCAGGGATGAGGAAAAAAAGAATTTCACGTAAGAACAGTAACTCTGGTATCTGAAACAGGATGAAGCTGAGTTCTGAGATACTCCCACTGTGTACAGATATAGAGTGAGTTATGAAAGAGAGTGCTTAACTTAGAAATTCTGAATTTATTTACAAGTTTTCTCTAAAAAAAAAAAAGGAAACAACATAAAATTCTCCTCCTGGATATATGCTACTCTGCAAAACACTGCAATTGAAGATCATTAAATTCATTTACACATTTTACAGATTTATCTTTGTATATAACAGCATATGCTTTAGTCATCAACACTTAGGAGATGACAAACTAAGCTGGTTTAAAATAATGAAACTGCCAGGTTTCCTTTGGCCTTCCCTCTTTAAAAATAAGCTGAAACATTTTTAGCCGAGGAACAGACGTAAGGATTCTAACTTTTCTAAAAAGGTACATGAGAATCAGCCTTCTTCAATTCAGACTTGCTACATAACATCGGACCTAACCCAGCAGTCTTAATTGAGACACGACCTGTACCAAAGCAATTAGCAATATTCTCTGCAACAGAACTGGGAGATCATACCCATAAGTTGCAATTTCAAAGTTGTTAATTCAACAAAGGAAGATGGAGGGTGGGGGAAGAAGCAGCAGTAACAGAAGAGGCTGCAAATTTGCTGGTTTTTAACAAAGAATTGCATTTGAAAAGGGGAAAGTATTCCCCTTCCACCTTTCCCAAGAAGCTCAGAATACAAATGGTTCCCCGCTTCCGACACGCTAATCACCATGCAGAAGTTTAACACACATTTAAAAAAAGTATAATAATCTTTGACAGAACAGTAACAAATGCTAATTACTAAGATCACCTGCTGATCTAAATTAACACAGAGTTGCCCAGCTTTAGGAACAGTGGATTTTGCATAGCAATTGCACCTATTTTCAATTTATTTCACCATTAGCATGAAACATTTGGAGTTTGATAGACTTTTCAAATCACTAAAGAAAAGTCCCGGTCTCAATCAAACCAGGACCATTCGACTTCCAACATGAACTGAATCAGGACTTTACCCAGCTAGTTTTATCTCCCTCGGTATCACAACCGTACTTCAATAATTTATAACACGTTTTCAGAGTCTAATTCATATTCTCTTAAATAGTACTGTGGTACTAACTGAAATAAAAAACACTGTTGTTTTTCTTAATTTAAAAATAAATTGGGAAGCGTACTGAAGGAAATTCATCCCTGAGTAAGGAGACATTTAAAAACCACATCCTAGCGACAATCATTGCAATACGTTATGACGCGTACTCTAACAGTCGACGCTATTAACAGGCAGTAACAGAACTTGTCATAGTCCAGTATATTTGCAGCGTTGTTGCATTGATCCCATGATCTTGTTTAATGAAACTGCAAGTGAACATTAGGAAATAGGATAAATAGAAATAGTGTCTTTATTATTTTAAGTTGAAGGTCAAATTGACAGCTAAACCGTGCTGGATCCCAGACAACTCAGAGCAGTGACGGTTAGCAACTTGCTTCTTTGGATGTACAAAAGATTTTCACCAGGTATCTTCAACCGAACAACAGGAGGAGAACGATCGTAACAGAGTTCACTGCTATCAACGGCACTGCAGAGAAAGAAGAAGAGTCATTGTGAAAATTTTCTTTTCCACATCACAAAGTGACAGAACTTCCAAGTTATCTTGGGAGACTCCCTTTTAAGGAGCAAAATCAATCAAAATTATAAAAATACACTTAATTTTCCTATGCAAAGTCAGGGTTAATGGAAGGAACCAGGATCTAAGCTGGGGATACTAAAAAGTAGTAGGAAGCAACAGCATAAGTATTTTTCTATGGCCCATCACCTTTTAACTTTAACCCAAACAACCTTTTCTCCGAATGAAACTAAAACGTCTCAAAGTCAGTTTCTACCCTTGGCTTTGCTGTGATTTAGAAGAAACGTATCAGTTTTTTACTCTGTGGTGGGCGAGCCAGGTAAGATTTGTTACTTCCTCTTCATCGTCACCTATAAAAGGAATTTCTGGTGTGCTTTATAGTGAAAAAACTATCAGTAACTTACAAATTAAGTCTTTTTTTTTTTTTTTTCCCCCATCCTTTAAGGCACTGAAGCCTGGCTTACCTTTAAGAATCCCAGGAATTACATTTCCCTCACCAGGTACTTCACATAAAACTGAGTTTAGCTAAGGTGAAGCTAATTACACACTCTGACTGATCACCAAGCCTCCCCCCAGCTCCCAAACTCCGAGGAAAGACAAGATGCAGCAGCGGCACCACAAGCCAGAGTCAGGGAATGTTTTTACACTTTATCAAAATTAGGGCACCTTAAGCTGGGACCTGCACCCTCTTATAGAGAGTCCACGCGTGAAGGAAGGACAGATTGGAAATGACGGGCAGAAATAGCAGCTGTTTGGTAAAAGAAAAGAGTCAAAATACGGATGTTACGTCATTAAAGCACAAAACCAAAACTTTACAGACAATAATGTTTCAAGAAAAGGTTGTCACCTTACCTCTCATAACGGTTCGTACAGATCGAATAAGGTTCGTTAGCTGTGCTTTAATTCCTGGCTCCTCTCCAAATCCTCCAATCCCTTGATCGCTTCCCCAGCCAACTGTGTCACACAAAACCAGCCAGACATGTTAGAAAAAAACCCCAAAACCGAGCAACATCAGAGAATCACAGACTGGTCAGGGTTGGCAGGGACCTCTGGAGATCACCCAGTCCAACCCCCTGCCAAAGCAGGGTCACCTACAGCAGTTGCACAGGATCACGCCCAGGC